ATAAATATCAACAATATCATTCATTCATTCATTCTATAATCCTCTTCTACTTTTTTTTAACATTATTAACTTGATTTTACAATTCATTTTATACACTACTACATAATTTTCATTCACATCTCAATTCTACATTTCTACATTCTATTGCAAGTCTTCAACATTCAATTTCTATTATTCACAAATGGATCCATGATCATTTGTTGAAAACTTGTTCAATATGGAAGGCGAAATACATGTCCAAACTCAATTTGGAAATGAATTTGTCAATCTCAATGGATTACCACCAGAAAACATTCAACATTTCGACGTTCATGAATGTAGTCATCTAATTGATTTGAATGAGTTAATGTTGATTTTAGTATTCCAATTGATTTGGAACAAGATGAAGAACCTACATTAAATATTCCCGATACAAGAGGGAAGAGAAAGGGGAAGAAGTAGGCAAAATGTTGGGACCATTTCAAATTGCTTCACACTAATCGTGTGGTTGATACCGGTCTCAATGAATTACCAATTCCAGAAAATATTGAAGATTTCGACGTTCGTGAAGGTAGTCATCCAATTGATTTGGATGACGTTGATATTGATCCTAGTGTTCCAATTGATTTGGAACAAGATGAAAAACCTACATTAAATATTCCCGATGCAAGAGGGAAGAGAAAAGGGAAGAAGCACGCAAAATATTGGGACCATTTTAAATTGGTTTAAACAGGTCGTGTGGTTAATGGACTTCTACAAACCAAAGCAGTATGTAAATACTGCCAACAACGACTAGCATGACAAAAAGGTATTGGAACTACCCACTTCAATCGTCACTGCAAAAATTGTGGGGCCAAACATGGGCTTCTTCCAGTTGGTCAAACACAATTACAGTTTGGTACTCTAGACGTCGGTGCTACTACTACGCCACTTTCTATGTGGATATATTCGGAGGAGGAAGCTCGAACGGGAATGGTGAAATTCGTTGTCGTGACGGAGTTGACACTAGCAATAGCCGACAACCAACAATTCGTAAACTACGTCAAACAATATCTTCAATCGAGGTACGTTGGAGTAAGTCGAAATACTCTTCGTTCTGATACAATTGAATATTTTCTTAATGCAATGAAACTATTGATTGCAGATTTAGAAAAATATGGGGGTGTGATATCTTTAACGTCTGATATGTGGGAAATGATTAATAAGAGAGGTTATATAGCTGCAACTGCATACTATATAGACCCACTTTAGATCATGCATAAAAAAATTATTGTTTTTAAAATTATTGAGTACATGCACAACGCCCAAACTATATTTAATGCTATTATGAACATTATTAGAGAGTATAAATGCGAGAGTAAAATTTGTTCTTTTACATTTGACGACGCTAGTGTAAATAAGATTGTTATCAATAAATTGCATAGAGTACTTCGACCCGATTTCGGTGATTATTTATTTCATATTCGATGTATATGTCATATTTTTAATTTAATAGAACAAGACGTTTTAAAACATGTTAAGGATGAAATTAAACGAATTAAGAATGCACTTGTATATATCATGATTACACCTAGTAGAAACAAGCATTTGAAAAAAAATTGTGAAGAAGCTGGGATGATGCATACAAAAACTTTTATTACGACGTAGGCCATAGATGAAACTCAACTTACTTATTATTCAAATCATGTGAAGGTTTTGAACATTTAATTACTGAATTTTATAACAATAAGCATGTTAGAGACGAATCCGATTGGAAGCGTTAATGTGTGTGAATGAATGAGAAGACGCTAATTATCGAATTCAAGATAAATATGCCGAAATTGCATGTAGCCAAGTAAGTAATATTTAATTTCAATGTATTCATCACAAAATTTTATTTTCATACCTTTATAATTTGTTTTTAAAAAAATTGTACACGTAACAAGTTGTTCGTGTATAATTTTTAACTCCGCCTACTCGAAATTGAAGTAGTCGGTCCCAAATCCGGTCGCCAAAAAACCAACTAGCCGAGCTTAGTGGTTCACGAGCTCGGCTCATGCCGGTAAGGGCCGAGCCGGCTCGACTTGGCTCATTGCCACCACTACTCATAGATGATAGAAATATACTGCTATACTTTATGTGATATTTGAGTATTCACAAATGCTTAAAGAATTCTTATATGTTCACATTCTTCATATGAATATAGTTGTGTCATATGTAAGGATATGTTTAACTCTACTCAAGAGAGATTGAAAAAATTTAGAAATATTAATCTTCATAATTGTCACTTGTTGTCAATTCAAAGGTTCTTAGTTAAAGGGAATTGATATAAGGAGATTCAGGGATCCTAGTATATTTTTCATCAAACTTGCATTCATTATAATTTTGTATCGATTTGGTTAAACTGGATCTTGTATTCATAAGTAGATTATTTAATTACAATTTAGTTTTAGAAAAAATCACAATTTTCATTATTTCCGTTAAGGCTAAGTTAATTCGAACTTAAACTAGTACAATCTTTGTGGATACAATACTTGGACTCAAAAATTCGATTTATTACTTGTTAACGAACCGTGCACTTGCGGTATTTTAAAAGAAATTATTTCGCAACAAAGATGAACATACATGCACCATGGTTTGGCAGAATAGAAGAGTTCATGTAGGTTATTTGGCCAAAAATACATATATAAGTTTTAGTTTTGTAGAGACTGTTCAAGAAGATTGCATGTATGAGATAACAAAGCATCAGTTTTATATGACTCGATCTAAATGTGCAAAAGTGGTGAATGAGATTGTTGCTGAACAATACAAAATCTTGTGGGATCATAGAAAGGAATTGAAGAGAAATAATCCTGGCAGATTGAAGGTGCACGACCTACTTTTAAGAGATTGTACATATGTTTGGAGACTTGTAAGGAGGGTGTTAAGGTAGGTTGCATGCCTATATGAAAGACTAACTAAGGTAAATAATTGTTGGCAGCTATTGGAATTGATGGAAATAATTGCATGTTTCCTATAGCATGGACAGTTGTAGATGTTAAGAACAAAAAAATTGGTAATGGTTTATAGGGATGTATAACAGCAGAGCTTGGACTTTCATATCTGATAAACAAAAGGTTTAATGGACTCATTAAATCAGTTTTGTGAAGGGATCTGAGCATGTATTGTGTTAGAAATCTGTATAACAACTTCACTTTGGTACATAAAGGTCTAAATCTTAAGAACTTGTTTTGGGCTACTACAAGGGCAACAATTGTGCTAGAGTAGAGGAATTCAACGAATGATATGAGAGATATCAATGAAGAAGCTTAGGGTTCAATGAAAACTAGCCTGCTAGTGGAGCAGATCATACTTCCAGAAGCATTCCAGGTACGATATTCTTTTAAATAACTTAAGCGAGGCATTCAATTCTTTAGTTGTTGTTATCATAGAGAAGCGTATCATTTCAATGCTAGAGATCAGACACCAACAAATGATAAGAATGAATACCAAAAGAAAATTTGTCCAGAGATGGGATCATGCATTTGGAACTAGAATCTTTGAGATCATTGAGAAGTCTAAGGCAGAGGCAAGGTACTTGAAGGCAGATTATTCAGGTCATGAGAAGTTTGAGATCAGTAGCATAGATGGATTGAGATTGAGTGTTGACTTAACAAAACATGAATAGAGACATGCATATATGACTATATTGATCCATGTTGTAAGGAAACATACCTAAGTTGTGACACTTTAGTGATCCAACCGATGTCAGGACCTAAGCTATAGGGAAAACATCATTTGAATCCACCCATGAAGAAGAAACAAACAGGCAGGCCCAAAAAGTTAAAAAAAAAAAAGATCCTAAACAGAGCCACTTGCTGGAGTGAAAATGGGAAAAACTGACATGAAGATGAGGTGTAAACACTGTAGGGAGCAGACCATAATAAGAGAACATGTAAGGCTATACGGCCTGGTGAATTAAGTTTACAGTAAAAATCACAATCAAACACACAATCGAAAACTCAATCAGATACACAGTCAAGAGCATTAAAAGGAAAGAGAAATCATCTTCATCAATAGTCTCCCAATCACAGAGGTAGAAGTCTTAGGAAAAAGGAGCAAAATCTTGAACATGTGATTTAATTAGCAAGATTTTGAAATATCTCGCAAATAGTTAACATCATTTTGTAGTTACAAAGTGAACTTATGATGATGCAAATATGGAATTTGCAATGGAAAATAGTAAGCATCTTTTTTATCACAGTTGTTCATACTATTCCAAGTTGAATTTTTTTACATAATATCGTATTTTGATTTGTACAAATACACACATAAGAGGTTGGGACATTTTCTTCATGATCTTTATTGTTAGGAACTTTTCAAGAATCATAATCAAATGTTTAGGACTATTGTTACGATGAATTACAAATGTTTATGACTATTGTTGCATGCATTACAAGGGTTTGGGACTATTCTGAAACTTAGTATGAACTTGGGACCTATGTTGCACCATCTAAAGACGTTTGGGGCTTGCACTGACCTTTAATTTTACCTAAAACAACAAGCAAAAAAAGGTAAAGTGGAAATTGGTAACAATTTTGAATTAAGGAGATACTTCATTTGCAAAAAAAGTATAATACAGCATTCAAAACACAATACCTAAGACAAAACACAATATCCCAAAACCCATGCCTAACTTCTGAACACAAAAACCCCCATCCCAAAACCTATCCTACAAATCTAGTTACTAGCTCATTTTACAAAAACTCCACACATAAATTCGGACAGCCAAGTCTTCCACATGCTTTGTCATGTTGACTGGAGGGTGTTCATGTCAATTTCCACGTCCTCATAGCCTGTAAAAATTCAAGAATCAACTCCTTAGATCTTTTTCAAATTGGAGGGTCACACCACACAAAGAAGGTACATCCACCCTAATCTTGACTCTGTGGGCAAGTCAATGCATCGGCCTTTTGGGAATTTTATTAGCCCCACGAGAACGCTTTGTCTCCTCACATATCTAGGATGCTTTCCTCTATTTTTCGCTGCCTTTACGACCTTAACTACTGCTTCCGTTTCATATGTGTCGACGCAATAACCTCCATTACCATCCATGTAACAAAGCCTCCTTTCTCCGCCATTCTCAAACCCCTCATAGATGTTCTTTCCTACAAGCAAGACCAGAACTCAAAGACCAGTGCTTTGTTGTGCCTAACTACCATTGTGGAGAGGGTTAGGAGTTTAAGGAAAAGAGAGAAACAATTGATGTAATAATTGCGGTAATGGGAACAATGGGTGAAGGGGTTAGGGGTTAAGTTTAGGGATGGCAACGGTTCAATTCGGGGTCTATTCGACCAAAACCATAATCGCACCATCAAAATTTTGGCCATACCATAATCACGTAAGTCGGTTTGGTTCGGTTCAATTCGTATCTCGGTTAGGTTCGGTTAATAACCACGAAAATAAATTATTTTTTATAAATCCAAACTCTAAACGTCAAACTCTATGTTTACATGATCAGCGGTAACAGAATTACTAACAAATTTATCAAAACCAGCTATGCGAGAATGCTTTCCAACAGTAGTAGACGACTCTGCTTGCGAAGATAATGAAGAGTGAGATGTATTTTCTGTCGAATGCCTTGGTCTCTTGTACTCTTTGAGCAATTTATGACAAAATGCTTTAACCTTTTCAACCTCTACCTGAGCTTCATCTCCAAAGATCAGAGGGAAATGGTATTCAACTAGTTTCATCTTGTATCTCGGATCTAATATAGTTGCAACAACTAGAATTCTATGCATGCCACTCCAATATTTGTCAAACTTTTCCTTCATGCTTGACGCCATCCATTTGACTTCATCACAAGATGATGTGCTCTAATCGCGAATTGCCAACTTTATGTCACAAATATTTGGAAAGTACAGATTGGCAGTAGGATATTTTGTACCTGAAAATATTTCAATCGCTTCATAAAATATCTCCAACTTATCACAAATCTCCGTAGCCAAGTTCCAATCACTCTCATTGGATACACTTCTATATTGAGGCTCTCTTTGCCTTAGACGAGGAAAAAGTTATTTGTAAAGTAAAGCAGTATGAATCATTAGATACGTGAAGTTCCAATGAGTCTTGCAATCGAGTACTAACCTTTTTTCACAAGGGATTTTCATTTGTCGTGCAACTGCCTCAAATGTTTCAACTCTTTTTGGTGCTGCTGACCAATATGAAACAATATCGCGGATTCTCTCGACACCCAAGCTAATTTAACGTGTAGGGTATATTGAAATTGGGCTTCATTGGCAGTGGGCTGGGTTATTGGGTTAAGATTTACTTAATGTAATTGGGCCAGAATTCTGGGAAGCTCAATCGTCAAAATTGCCCAATTAATTTTGAGAAAGAATAATGGAAAACTCAATTCTCCAATTAATTTGTTTTTAAACGGATAATCGATTCAGAGCGGGGCACCATCGCTAAATACCATACCCGCCCCTAAATGAAGCGGTTCATGAAAATCAAAACCAGACCCATCCCATTGCACCATCAGTTCGATTTTTTTCGCCCCATTCGATTCGATGAACCGCGATTTTCGATTTTAACTGTTCGAATGGTCATCCCTAGTTAAGTGACATGAACAATTAATGTAATAATTTTAGGGAGAAAAAGAGGCGGTGATGGTGGCAGTGACGGTGAATGGTGTTGGTGGGAGAGAATCAAGGAAAAAAGAGTGATTTTTTTTTTTCCTGATTTGATTTTTTAATTATTTATTTGTGACTTACTTGTAGTTTTTTTTAAAAAAATTTGGGACTATGAATATAATTAATTTTTTTATTTTTTTCTTCTTTTATTTAATTACGATGGTATATTCTTCATTTCATAAATTTTTATTATTAAGAAAATGAACAATAAAGGATATTTCATTCTAAACGTTTCAAATAAGGACATATTGTGCTATTTGAACAAGTATAATGGAATATGGATGATAGGGAATATATACGGATGTTTTGTGCTATTTTCAAAGCACACTGAGGTTTCAACGATTTGATCAGGGGTTATTGCCCTGTTTATCTATACTTAAACATCGTTAATATCACCGAAATATTCATGTTAATTAGCATTTCTTGGATTCTGATACGCTGTCCAACTATTCCATGGTTCTCCGGTCTACAGTACATATTCATGTACAAGTTGATTTCAATTTCTACTCTGTGTGTGTTTCGGAATTTTAGTTCGGATTATTGAAATTGTGAAGTTGTATTTGGTGTTGTAAAATTGAGAATTGAAGATGAAGTTGTTGAATGTGGCCACGTGTAATTTGAATCAATGGGCAATGATTTATTATTGCAACATGAATAATATTAAAGAGTCGATTTCTAGGGCTAAAGAAGCCAGCGCAGTGATTCGGCGTGGCCCAGAGCTTGAAATCACTGGCTATGGCTGTGAAGACCATTTCTTGGAACTTGATACCGTCACTCATGCGTAAGTGCTTTCAAATTTGATTAATTATTTTTATGTGAATGCAGGTATATTATTTATTGTAAGGATTCTGGTTTGATAACAGATAATTGAGTTGTTTGGAAAGAAATAGAGGAATTGTGTTAATTGAGTGCAAAAATAGTTAAAAAGCTGGAATGAGTATGTCACTTTATGTAAAGTTCGAATTTTTTATTGACATAAATAAAAGTAGAATGGAGAGATTGATATAATCAGTACAGACAATGAATTGCTTATAGAGTTATAATTGTTCTTTATGCCAATCTGCGAACATCTAGCATCAATTGGGAGCCTACCTTATTGTGTATCGTATGATAACATTGTTGTCATTATCAACTGATTTTTGACCAATTTTGTTACTTTTGTTAGTCGAAATTAATGCAAACTTTCTGCAAAGGGGAATGATAATCGCAAAGCATGGTGCCCAACTTATTTTGCATAGTATATCAGTTGTTTCCAGAAGAAGAAATTATAGTCCCAAGATTCAGTAGAAATTCTTATGCTTGGTGTGCAAATAATTGATGCTGAGAGAGATTTGTTGGGATAAAAAGTTTACTCTCTAGAATTTTCGCAACTATGGCTTTCTAGAAATATACTACTTCACAGGACCTTGTGTTATTGTGTTTTGTCTATTTTTTCATTTCTTTTAAAATATTGTGAATAATTGTTTGCAGGTGAGAGTGCTTACAAGAACTATTTCTTGGCGATTGGACCGATGGCAAATTATGTTGTTTTGGTATGCCTGTTATCAAGGGGTCAGAGAATTTTAGTTGTCAGGTGCTGTGCTTGAACAGAAAAATAGTGATGATACACCCAAAGATGTGGCTTGCAAATGATGGAAACTAAAGGGAACTCTGTTGGTTTACAGCTTGGAAGCAAAAAGAGCATCTTGAGGACTTACTGCTCCCAATCGAAATATCTGAGTCTTTATCGCAGACAACTGTGCCTTTCGGCTATGGTTATAGTCAGTTTCTGGACACGTATGTTATGATATCTCCAGCACTTTTGTGATTGAATTTCAATTTTCAAGGTGTTTGATCTATTAATGAATCTGAATGGATTAAGTAGCAATATATGTAATTTCACCACTACAAATTTTCATATTTTGATGGTGTAGAACTAGCGAATTATTAACCTCCTATCATCATATTGGATTAATATTTAAGAGAAGATTAGTAGAGATGCTGTGAGCATCCACACGTATTTAGACCAGAAGTCCTACTTTATTCTGTCTTTAAATTACTTGTGTCTTGTTTATTCTCTTGGTTCTATCTACCATGCATATCTTTGGTTCTTTTGACATGTGCATTGGACTTGATTCTTTCTAGCTTTCTTTTAATTCATATCTATGGGAACCGCTGTGACTGTATATGCCCTTTTCTCAATTCACGTATTTCCCGAATTTTTTTTTTCTTTTCTTTTTTCCTGAACTTCTAATACTAAGAATATATGTTCCCCTCAGCGCTGTTCCAGCTGAAGTTTGCGAGGAACTTTTTAGTCCTATTCTCCCTCATGCTGAGCTTGCATTGAATGGTGTTGAAGTTTTTATGAATGGTGTGGAAGTCATCACCAAATAAGAAAGCTTGATATTCGCCTTCATGCTTTTTTAGGTGCTACACATACTTGTGGAGAAGTTTACATGTACAGTAATCAGCAAGGATGTGATGGTGGACGTCTTTATTATGGTGAGACTGATGTTCTTAATTGATTTATCATATTCCATTCTCTGTTTAGGAAACATATACTGTGTTTTATCTGTTAACCTCCAGTTTCAGCATTATCAGACTTTATCTGGTTCATCTGGCTTTATCTTTTTTTTCCCTAACGTGCAAAGAAATTGAACCTTCAGGATCTGTTGTTGATAAATTAATGTTTCACAGATGGACGTTCTTGCATTTTTGTGAATGGAAATATGGTTGCCCAAGGTTCCCAATTTTCCATGAAGGATGTAGAATTGGCGGTTGCTCAAATAGATATAGATGCGGTATTCTGAAAACTCCATCCCACTATTTATTTGAACTATAGAGGATGATGTGCTTGTATGTCTTCGTATATTAATAAAAAAGTATACACTGGTTAATCTTACCTCCTTAATACAAGCTGATTGGAGTTGACTGGTTTGACTTCCCGGGGCATATTGCTTTGTTTCCTCTCATTTCATTCTACATAAGCAATGGTTTTCCCTTAAGCAAGTGTGATTTGTATTCTAACGCTTAGTTTGATATAAAAATTTTCAGAATAGATTTTGTGAAAAGTATTTTTTTTTAGAATGTGTGGTTAAAAAATGTAGTGCAAACTTATGGCTCCATGCGCAAAATTATTTTATAGGGAGAATGTTTAATTGAAAAATACTTTGAAAAAAATGAATAGTAAAGAATTTGTACAAAACATGGGCTACATATAGTTAGTAGAGTTGCTATCCCAAAGCCAATAAGAAATGGGAGGCAAGATTAATATATTAGTACCTCCGTCCCATAAAGATAGGCTCTACCCTGCTTGTTTTCCTTTAAAATAAACTCTTTAATTTTCATATTCATTTTCAATCACATAATCACACAATAAAATATTTTGCATATTATTGAAGATATGCAAAGAATAATCTTTATGATATTTTTCCAATAGTGTAGGATTATTTTCCTTAATAGTTGATTGTATAATTATTATACAATTTTTCATTTTAGAGTTATTTATAGCCCTATAAATAGGGTCTATTACTTTGTAATAGAAACACGTTTATTATATATAATTTATAATATTCTTCACATGGTATCAGAGCCCACTAAGCTCTAACGAGCAATTCGATCCGATTAAGACTCCAAAAAGTGAGCATACGGATTTCAAAATTGGTGTGCTCAAATGAGCCACCGTCTTGCGGGGTCATGTTAAAGGGATAGAATCCCAAATCGAATAAAGATGTAAACATAAACCAACTTATAAAGGATTATGTTACTCCTTTTAATAAGGTTGACATTTTAAGATGGAACCTCAATTCTTAATATGGTATTAGAGCAGTTTTGATTCTAAACAAATTAACCTTTGAATTTCGTTTCCGGTGAGCGGCTTTGAGCAGCTCGTCCGGCTATCAGTGTTGTTTTTCTTTTTTTATTGGGTTGTTGGAGTAATTGGGCCAATTATTTAATTGATTTGATTTTACTATGGAATATATGGTTTTTTTTCGGAGTTTGGCATTTTCTCCTCTGAAACTTGTTTGGAGTTTCTTCAGCT